ACCTGACTCAATGTGTAAAAAATGATCTGAATCCAGATCTCATCCATTTTAGGACCATATTTGACCCTAAAAAGGTATCCCCTATGAGGGAGCCAGAACAACAAAGTAAAAGAAGGGTCAAACTTGTTGGATATGTATTGGTCCAAATGCAATCACTTTGGTGTCTTTTGTACTAGGAAGTTACAATACAACTGTATTAGTTTCCTTTGTTTGGGTGTGTAATGGAGTTGATGTAAGTGCACAGAAACCACGATAGAGTTCACTAGTTCCTACAGAATCGACAATACTTTTGTTTCTTTGCTTTTGGTATCTGCAACACCAACTTGGTGCTGCAGTGGTCAATAAATTACTATTTACCTTTTCACAAAAGAAAAATGTTAATTTGATGTCAACTGCGACCCAAATTCTTCTATTCTTGTTATACCAAGCAGACTTCATGGATCCTTTATGTTTAATAACTCCTTCACTCTTGATGCAGATTGAGATATTGTATGACTATGGCAAGGAAGAGGTTGAACTAGTATGATATTCTCCCATGAAATGAATAAAAGGTATAATTATGTTAACTCGTGCATCTTCACACATTTGCGTTTACCAATACTCTCATCATGTTTATCACCTCTGTTGCTTCCCCCACCCCAACAACTGCAGAGGACACCCCAACCATCTGTAAAACTTGTCGAAGAAAATTTTGGCCCGACTTTTGGGAAATTTTGAGCTAGTAAACTATTATTAGCTAACTGGGCATACACGACATCTGTCGTGAATACCAAGTAGTTTCAATTATCACCTTAAACATGTCAATGAATAAAAACTGAACAACGTCTTTGACATTGGTAAAGATCTATATTTGTAAATTTTGCCATTTGATTGAATATTTTCATTTTTTCGGTGGCAGATTCAGAAAGTGCGGGCATGCAAGGAGAGTTGCATCCAGTCCTGTCTTCTTTTTTAGTGATTTCATCTAGCTTTGAACAATGAAACGTTAAATATGTTTTCTGGTTTGATATTTAGAGAAATGGGAAATGGCAATGGCACTATGCTCACTTAAAATTGACCGTTTAGTAGTTGTGAGCTGCATACCAAGAATTGCAAAAATAAATGTCAGATTTTGATTTGAAATAGACAAAGTTGAGGATTTGTTTGGCGTACAATTTGTCGAATTTCAGTAATCATTATTCATGTCTTAACCTTCTTTTTACAAGTATTGTGAGCTATCAATATCATTAATGTATTGTTGTTTGAACAGTTTCTTGTTATAAAAAATTGTATACTTGCCTTTATTGCAAGAGTGACGGACAAATAGTTGTCCCATTTGTTTGGCAGATGGAATAGATATGTGGTTGTACTCTCTTGGATTAGAAGGGAGATGAAATGAAAGACATTGAATAAAACACTAACATAAGTTGTTAGACAAAGTGATGAAAGAAGGGAAAAACCCACAAAAAGAAGTAGGTATAAACCAAAAAATTGCCATGATTGTGATGATATCTTTGAGAATTGATCAGTTGAAATGATTTCTCTTTTGACATGTTGAATGGAGGAAAAAAAATTAAGAAAATGACATAAATAGTCCCTCAACTATAGGAGTAGGTCTAAAATGGTCCCTTAACTATACACTTAATGGATTTAGTTCTTTAACTATTCAAAAATTTATCAACTTTGGTCTCTTAACTATACACTTACCGGTTTTAGTTTCTTAACTATAAACTTACCGATTTTAATTCTTTAAGTATTCAAAAATTTATCAGTTTTGGTCTTTGTCCATTTTTAATACAAATAGCTTAGGTTTATATTAATCGAAATCTTCATTAAATTAAATTTTTAACCCATTTTTTAAAGTTGTTTCTCTATTCCCACCTTTTTTTCTTCAAACTACTCTTATGAAAAGAACTATAACGTCAACGATTAAAAATAAAATTAAAGAGGAAAGAAGATATAAGTCATAATTTTATTCAATGGAGGATAAAATTAAGCATATAATTGTTGTTAATGACTTGAATATGCTAATCCGTGCGGATTTTATTTAATTTACTCAAATTTCTTCACGTAAAATAAAATGAATAGAATAATAAAATCGATCTATTTAAAAAAAGATTAAAAAATTTACAAATCTACCATTTTATATTTCAATTTCTGAAAAATTAAACAAATTTCATTCAATGAAGTCGTTGGAGTACAAATTTTGGATTTAAAAGGTAATAATTTTTTTCTTTTTATAATAAAATTTAGCATATTCTAGTCATTAGTAGCAATAATATGCTTCATTTTATCCTTTGTTGAATAAAATTATGACTTATATTTTCTTTCCTCGTGAATTTTATTTTGAATCGTTGAGGTTAGGGTTCTTCGCATAAGATTAATTTGAAGAAAAAGAAGCGGAGAGAGAGAAACAACAGAAAAAGTTGCTAAAAGATTTAATTTCTTGAGGCATGAATTCCGTTAATATAAACCTAAGCTATTTGTATTAAAAAAAATGGACAAAGACTAAACCTGATAAGTTTTTGAATATTTAAAGGACTAAAATCGGTAAGTTTATAGTTAAGAGACTAAAACCGGTAAGTATATAGTTAAGGGATCAAAACTGATAAATTTTTGAATAGTTAAAGGACTAAATCCGCTAAGTGTATAATTAAGGAACCAATTTAGACCTACTTTTATAGTTAAGGGACTATTTATGTCATTTTCTCAGCAAAGTCGCATTAGATTGATGTCTTGTCTTATTCTTGTCTATCAACTCATCTACTAATAAAATCAGCTAAAAGGATTTATAACAGTGCCTTTTCCTACTTTAAATTGGCTTTTCACATGAACTAAGTTTTAATCATCTATAACAACCTTAGCGCAGGGGCAGAGCTACAGCCAGTGATGGGTGTGCAGGTGAACACCCTTCGCCGGAAATTATATCGTATATATAGGTCAAATTAATGAAATTGTTAATATATACATAAGTTTGCACACACTTGACATAATTAGAGCCCTTGGCTCAATGGTAAAGAGTGAGTTAGAAGCTTCGAGGCCCGAGGTCGAAGGTTCGATTTTTGCTAACTTTAAGTTTTTAACATCATTTTTTATTAGTCAAAACTCACTAAATATTTTATAGGTTACTTTTTAAAATTTTGCACACCCTTCATAAAATGTCTGACTCCGCCACTGAAGTTTTGATCAAGTTATAAACAATAGATGGCTTTGCTACTCATGCGTTGGGTTTTGGACCTTTGGTTTAACTCCGCATACGTGTTTCTAATGTGTAATAATCAAATGGGACCATTGTTAATTAGAAAAATTACTAAAATACACGTCTTATGTTTCCCTTATTTTCAATATCCTCTTCTATTTCTAAAAACCTCTAAAATCTCTTATTTCTTTAATGTATCCGAGCTACATATTATGTATCCGGTTTGTGTTACTTTTTAAGGGATTAATGTAATTACAAACTAAAGAAGGATATATTGTAATTTCATATTAAGACTGTGATTCCTAAAATATACCCTTGTTAATTAGTCATTATATCTAAAACTCATAATCTCTTACTGGCCTTTGCATCAAAAGATCCTCTAATGAATAAAACCCGCAAAGGGTTCTCACAAGAGAAAAATAATGCTACATTCATTTGCACTTTGCATGCTTCCCCTGAACATATGGGCATTCAAACTTATTATGGTTCATTCGACTACTATGTCATACCTGCCCTGATGCACCGTATCACATTTGCACATGGATTTATCATTGAACAACAAACGAATGCAAGAAAAAATCCAACCTAAAATCATCCGGCCTAAGAGAGCAACCTATTAGCTCTGGATTATGAAAGATGAACAATTCACCCTCTTTAAAAGAGGTGTTATATGTTGAATAGCATGTTCCATAAGAACGAGCAAACTCATTTCTCTGCACATATGTATGTATCACAGTGTCTACATAACAAGATTAATTTCAGCAGAAAGCAGTAATTGGCAAAATCATTGAACATCACAATTCATTATTCTCCATTCAGATCTCTCTGTCATACCAATTCTAACATCTATTGACAGAGTAGAGAGGAGATCATCCAGGCCCTTTGCACAATTGCACTCTTTTGCCTTTACTTCAAATCTGTGAATACACCATTATGTATGTACTCCAGCATGAGTTTCTTCCACAAGTTGATCTAATAAGATAAGCTGTCAATAGGAGAGAATATCTCTTGCTCAGCATCAATTTTTAAAGAAATCGAGAGGCTGGATGCCACACACACCAAAACATGAAGTTCAATGTTGAAAGCTGCAGATAACTCTCCTGCAGTTTCATCCAGTCAATTATCTCTACCCCTTCCCTCCCCAAGGAGGTTTTAAGGAAAGTTTTGCAACTTTTTCTTACAAAAATTCTCTCTAGATCGAAGATTAGTTTGATTCCACCCATTTATGAGACCAGTTCTGTCAGAAGTGGCTGAGTTCCAAAACTATAGATGCACCCTTCAAGCCAGCAACTACTAGTAGCAACATGAAAAAAAGCAAATTCATATCCTTTTTTCTCCATTAGTTTATATTTCAATTTGAATCATCTCACACTATCTTAACTCGAGCACAAGACTAGATAGATCAGTTCATAAAGTCATATCAACCAACGAAAACAGATATACATCACACCACAATATTTGCTGCAGGATAATTAGAGCAACAAGTATCTCTTACACCCCAAATTTGGGCAACGGAGATGCTGATGTCTATAAAGTTAAGATCTTTATTGATGATCAGTAGCTGAAATAACTAAGCACATTTTGGATCTTCAGTTTTTCTGGACTAAAATATGTGCAAACCATAACAGTCCCAAACCCGGATTAAACAGGAGAGTTTTGCCCTAAGTCGACAGTTACTGTCATTAAAAATAGTCAAACTACGATTCATATAGCTGACCCCAACTGAATTAGGATTGATCCATAGTGAAGCTAAGTTGTGTTTTGACATCAAATAACCAAAGTGAGTTTAGATAAAGCACCTATTAATCACAGTGTCCTTCATGTAACAGCAATAGTAATTCAGCATTTATTCTCAACTCCTAGAACTCCTAATTCTAGAATGCCATATGATAATACATCTGTATGCAAATCGCAAAGCCAGACAAAGCAATTGAAACTCAATTTTGCCCAGACGTCAATACATTCAGATTCATCATAAGAAAAACATAATCTATCTTCTTATCAGAGCATTGCAAATAGAAACAAGACTAGATTTTTGAAGGGTACAGAAAATAAAAAAAGCTTAGAAATCAAATGAGTTTGAAAGGAAGAGGCCAAGGTGTAGACCTGGGGACCTCAACTTTATCCTTGATGCGTTCAATTTTCTTCTCCTTTTTAGGTCTTGAATTTCCATATGAATCTTTGAATCTCTTCCCTTTCTTCGTCCTCTTGTCCCCTCGTCCGCAAAGGATCGGACCTCCCATCGCCGCCGACGGGGCAGCTGAAGATGAATATGACATTCGTTGCTCCATAACAGTCATCAGTCTCCTCGCTACTGTGCTGCACCACTGTGTCATCGCCATCTCCGATTTCACCCTAGTCCCTGTACCTTAAACCCTAGCCCTGGACTGGAAATTCCCTGACCAAAATAAAATGAAGAAAGAAAGAAAAGGGGAAAGATAGATACTCTGATTAAGTTTTTTCCTTCTGATTTCTTTTTCTCCCAAAAAATACGAATTTAACAGGTTTTCGATTTTTGTTATGATTTTTATTATTACAAATTTAATCATATAAATTCAGCAATATGTTTAGAAAATTAAAATAAGTCGATTTTCTGATGCTGGATTGCCAAATAATATTTTTTTCAAAATAATACTTAAAAATTCTCGTATAAGACATTATCTAATTTGCTAACAATATATATTCACTCACTAATCAACTACGAAATTTATTTTAGAAAATATTCGTTTTGAGGAATATTTTTTCAGAAAAACGATTTGTTGATATACCAAAAGTGCAATGTTGCTAGTTAAAATCTAATTAATGTCGTCTTTATTTCAATTTATTTATCTTCCTTTTCCCTTTTAATATATTTAAAAGACATGTCACTAAGTGATTGAAAGAGCATTTTATACATTACACGTATTGAATTTAAAATCACAATATTCAGAAGTTTCATTTATTTTCTTCGGTCAACCATTTTCCAGATGTGCTCCTCAATTAATTAGGAGTACATCATTTGCAACAGTCAATGAAACCCAAATTGTATAAATTATATAGTACAAGTTACACATAATTAAGATATTTGACTGACAAAAGAAAAGGTTAATATGAAATTAACCCCTC